TGACTCGGGAATGCTTGATTAGTGGTTCACATGTGCTTCGCATTTAATTTGGAAGGAAGCTTGAAAGCTGCTTTGACATTTTAGTTTAATTTGTATAAATCAAATCATGTTTAACAAGGGATTTTTCATCTGAGGTCAGTTAACTTTAGGGGCCCAGACAGTGGCTGTAAAACTTTATTTTGTCCTGATGCTGAAGCCTCTGACTGTCCCATTCTTCTGACAGAGTACTTGCCTCCTCACTGCCTCCTTCTCTTCTGGCATTTTCGTCACACTTGCAAGTTGCAGACCGGAGAGATAAGACGGGTGAAGATAACCAGAGGAGATGCGAAACGAAGCTGCGTAGGATGAAAGTCCTAAACTCACGACGCCGCTTTTCTTTCTTTGTAAAGCATTTAGAACCTGGAGGCATTTTCACAAAGAACCTAGACATGACTCTTTTCTCATATCTTGCAGATTACAATTCTCTGTTCAGAAATGGAAGATGTCTTATCCTCAGCTTTAGGGGTTCTTGTGTAACGCTGCTAGGCAGGTCAAAAGTCACAGTAATCCCTCAGTGGTGTCTGGGCTCGGATCGGGTTCGAAAGCAATGACTAAATCTTTGGTAGGTTTTGCTTCTATACCTGATAATAACAACCTCACTGCATGTGCAGACTGTAATATCCTCCATTACTGCAGTCACTTGAGTCAGCAGTATTCATTTGTTTGCCTCTTTTGTATCTTCTTCGAATGTTTCTGACTCTGACTTTTTATAGACACATACAATGCCCTTGCTGGTCCGGCAAGAGGCCATATGTTGGAGGACTTTCAGGGCTGGAGGAGGTTTGGTCCCATTGCTAAAGTATCATTGCGTTTAGGAGCCAAAAATATTTCATTTTGGTTAGAGCAGGATCACTGCTTGGTGTAAAATACAGCCTTCCAAACACTGCACCCTCCTGGCATTTCATGATGAGGTGAGAGCGGTGCCAGGTACGGCTCTGAGATGCTGGAATGACATGGATTCATGGTTTCCAAAACGAAAAGAACATTTTAAAAAAAGGCAGTCTTTTTTTTAAATGTTCTTTTAAAAATCATTTTAAAATTAAGAATTTTTTTCTGTAATTTGGTCTTTTGATTGCCACACGTCTCCCTTCTGTAGAGGGCGTTTAAGTTGTCTCACCTTCATTTTTTCCCCTTCATCATCCTCGATTCTCGTCTCGTAGATTTCGGACCAACTCAGGCCGAGACGAGACAAAAAGAAAAAGAAAAAAAAAAACACAGAAAAGTCGGACGACTTTTGGCGGCGATAAGCGCCGCTTTGTTTGTGCCGGGGTCACACGGAAATGGATATCTGTGCATGTTGTGCTTTTGATCTTGTGGAATTTTATACACAGTGTGACACATGTGCTTTTAAGATGAGAAATGGAGAACCCATAAAACGTTGTGCGTCACGTCCCACGCAATGCATGCCATGTAAGCATAAGGTCTGCTGGTGCCGTGTGGGGGGAACTTTAGCGGCGCACGAAAACTCATGTCTCCAACCAAGCTCTGTGTTGCAGACCCACATGCGCTAATTAGACCTGTTATAAAGCCTGATGTGCGGTGATTGAAAGCAGGCTCATCTTAACTCGGGACAGTCCTGTTGCACCGCCGTCAAGCGCCGGAGGGTGTGATTTTTTTTCCACTCACCGGCTCTAAGGTCAGCTTCTTGGTATTCACACAAACGTCCTTTGGTTTTGATTGAAAAGGGATGAATCGATGCAGGTCTGTGGACTTTTAGCATCTATAACTTATTAACCGTGGAGAGGGATTTGGAAGTTTGCATTGTGCAGCTGCCCATGTGGCGACAGCAATCAGCTACACACAGAAATGTGTGGCATGCGTCAGGCTTCCTCCCCCCACCCTCAGACCCCCACACACACTCTGCCGTGGCACCATGCCAACCATGCCAGGCACTCACGCCTGGATCTTCGTGCAGCGTGCCGGATTTGCTACACTTTCGTGCCTTGCTTGATAAACTGGAAGACCTGTTTATCTGCATCTCTCTCTCCTTGTCATTACTTGTTCCTTTTTGTTGTTTTATTTGATCTTTTTTTCTTCTTCTTCAGATGGGCTGTGTCTTGTTGGAAAACACAGCCATTGGGAAGGCTTTAGGAAAAGACAAAAAAAAAAAAAAAAAAAAGACAAGAGTTGCAGGACAATTATCAAATGAGCTGTTTTCACTGGAATGCAGATCAAGAACCGGTTCGGCTCTGCAAGCGGACTCAAAGCCAAAGCTTTATTAGTGAGATAATAGATTCAGAGCTATCTTCGTTTTCTTAATGAGAAAAGTGTCACTCTTTACTCTGAGCGCCGCCCAGGATGTTAAAACAGTCAGATTACAGATGCAGGGATAGCTAGCATGTTGTTTCTGCTTCTTACAACCACACCTAATAAAAAGGAAAAAAATAAAATTAAATAAATCACACTCATGCCTTCGCAAACAAGCTAATTTTACAAGTGCGGTACAACTGCAGATTAATTAACAACTAAGAGCACCCAGCTTTGATTAAAGAACAGCAATAAACGAACACAGCCACCCCGACTGCTTTTTCTAGCTTTCGCCTTTCCGACACGCTTCTCTTGTACCGGGCTCACACAGATGATGCTCGGAGGTGGTTCCACGTTCCCTTATAAACGGGAACAACCCAAGTCGCAATCTTACCTTTTTATTTGCTCAGTGAGTGCTGTTTATTTTATTTTTTTTTTTAACAAAACCCAAATGCAGCATCACAACGTCAGCAGACTGTGCATGCGGCCTCAGAGCTGCTACTTTCAATGAAATGGATGGAAACTATCACTTCAATGATGTCAACTCATGTGGAGCTTTTGTGTATTTTTTGGTGAACTCTACTGTTAGGCCATTAAAATAAAGTTCAGACATTTAGTGGGATTTTTCTTTTTTTTTTCAAAGTAATATCTTACTACTTGCAGCAGTCAGTTGCTTAACTTTAATGAAACCTGGATTAGCTACAGAGCTAACGGCTAACCAGAGCAGGGTTTAGAAAAAAAAAAAAAAGAGCAGGCTTATGTCAGAAATACTCCAATCTCAAACACATCACAGCAATTAGTGTAAAAAAACATTACAAGGTATTTATTCACAAAAAACCTGAGGTTGCTGTTGGTCAAATGATTTGCTGGTGTGGAACATAAAAACGAAATGGAAGAGGCTTGGCCTTAGAGCTTGCTATCAAGATTCAAGCTATTTCACTGTTTCATCAGATTCCCCGTGAGGGCAAATACACGGGGCCGTTCCTGTTTTGCTGCTTGTGTTTTACATCAAGAGGTCATTACCGCGGACCAACTCAGACTCTAAAATTGCGATGGCCAGCGAAGGGAACGCTACGCTGTGGATTCTTAACAGGTTGCAACGAACCGAAAACTTTGCTCCATGACACTCCCTCTTCTCTGTAAACAACTGCAGATGCTCAGAGTCGCTCCAGGTCCGTGTCACATGTTCACAGGACAACGACAATCCCTTCTGATTCTCTCGAGCTTCAGATTTCTCAGGTTAGGAGACCAGCTCATTGATCCCTGTCACTTTGTTTGAAAAAAAAAAAATAAGAAAAAAGGCTGCAAATGTCCCAGCCCTGGAAAACTTAAGATACTCAACCCTGGCTTTAGAAAGATGCTGATTCTGCTCATACTGGCCTGCATCTGAAAAGAAAAAAAAAGAGAGAGAGAGAGAGAGAAGGAACTCTTCCTGACAGAAGATAAATGCAGAAGAGACGCATGATGGTTTGACCCATGATTAAGCTACCAGTTGGAAGCACTTAGAGCAGGACAGATATTTTATACAAGTCGTTTCGGCAGCGCCAACTCCAGCCAGCAGTAATGATGAGTTGCAGTGCAAACCGCACGGTGGACGCTACATTACCGGCAGGATCCACACAGACCTCTGGCTATCTCTGTGGAGAAACACCTTACTATTACACTGATTTTTCTGGTTGAAACAAACATCTTGTTTTTTCTTTTTTGTTTTTTTTGTTTCTTTTTTCCTTTCCAGACGCTAAAAGACAAGTTGTAGAGCAGCAGCGATGCATTTGTCTATCATATAAAATCTCATTATTGTTGAAATTGTCCACCTACGGGGGGGCATTAGTCGTCCATAGTTCATTTTCTCCTCTTTATCCCTTTTATGTTTAAGCAGATTCTGCTTCACATTGACAGCTTTTCTCTGCTAAAAAAGAAGAGAGAGAAAAAAAGGCAAATTACTGAGCAAGAGAGGGGGGGGGGGAACGAGACCAAATAACAGCTCTGAGAATGTTTGGATTGTGAAACCAGAACATTAGTACAAACCATAATGGCTGGCCCAAAGAGACCCAGTGCCTCTCCAGAACTTTACTCTCACAGGCAATGATGTAACGCCAGCCATTTCACATGAAGCATTTACTTGTTGCACTATTCAAAGTCTATTTATACCGTCTTCGTTCACTCAAAATAAAGCAGCTTATGTTAGGCTGATGTCCTTTAAATAGCCTGTTTGTTTAAGCTGGATGAATTAGAATACAACTTGCCCAAAGCAATTCTGGAAAATTTTAATGTGCCTATAATGCCTGCAGAGCAGAGAAGGAAAAAAGACGTTATTTAGTTTGTGAAACGATGAGAGGCAGCGCTGCAGAGAGTGTTTGTCACAATGCTTTGCACTCAGATAAACGTGGAGGAAACACGGTCAGAAATGAAAACAGCGTTTTGCAAAAGAATCCATAATCCACGAACATCGTGTCGTTTCGTCACGTTGCGACCGCAAACTTCAAAGTGTTCATTGGGATTTTATGTGCTAGACAAAAAAAATAGCAGTGGACTGTTGTGAAGATTATTTTCTGTAAGAATTTAGTAAAAGGATGTTTGTTTGTTTTTTAACAGTTTTTATTGTCTTTTGTGTGCATTCAAAGCTGGGAGTTGCCACCAAATTTTTCCGTGGTTTCATAATGACAACAAAGATGGCTGTAGCTCATCTCATCATGATTGTTCTGTGTTAACAGCTGATGGAGGAAAAAGGCAGAGCGCCGGCAGCAGAGGAGGTGGCATTCTGCGATGATGGTACCTATGAGGAGGGAGTCAGGTGGCAACCCCAAGTTTCCCCATCCAGGAGCTCAGTGACCTCAGGTCTACACTAGGAGAGACGCCGGGCCTCGAACGCACCACAAAGATGGATCATGTTTGGACAAAACGAAATACAAAATTTGATTGATTAGATTGATTGGTTGAAAACACCACCAGACGGTCCAGAAGTGGACAAGCATTTATGTTTTCTTTTGTGTGGAAACAGTGAAAAAAATCAAATGTAATAAAGAGGAAAAAATCCTGTGCCTCATTTATGGATTTCACATCTGAACATGTTGCATATAAGCAATATCATGTTAATATATTTTAATACAGTGTGTATTCTTTATGGAGATGTTTATTTAGAAAGACGTGTGCTGTCAAATAGGGACACATCAACCAACCAATTGCATGTCAGTGATGAATTGTGATGTCACTGTTTTTCATCCGATGACTGAGAATATACATTGATCTGCTGAAGCGCCTTTGCATTTGATAGGCTATTCGTATGCTAAGGAGAATCTTTTACTTGTTTTTTTTTTTTGTAATTTTTTTCCTCAGATGATTTTTGTTTGTATTTTTTGAAAGTAGGCCAACAGGAAGGAGGGAGCAAAGGAGGTACCCGGTGTACAGCGTCAAAAACGCCACTTCTCGTGCATTGTCTGGTTTTCGAATAATTTTTTGACTGACATTTTTTATTCAGTTCCTTTATCTTTGACACCACCAAATAAAATAAAATCCAGTGCAGTCTCCAGCAGTCGGTAAGTCGAGTTCTCCTTTGTATAAATGTCTACTAGGTGATTGTTTTAGAGATTAGTCAACAGAGATCCACAGTTTAAATGGTCACTAATGCCACACATATTAATTTTATGCAAAAGCAACAAAAAGAAATAGAATTTGTTGTTTTTCGTAAGGCATAACGGGGATGTGGGAAATGTCTGTACGCACAAACGTTAAACTTAAAAGAATTTAACTCAACATTTCACCCTCACTGGAAGGATGGCAGCATCATACTGTGGGCTGCAATCTAACCGGAGGCAGAGGGAAGTCGGTCACAGTTGAACGGAAAACGGACAGAGCTGAAAACAGGCTATTCCTGGAAGAAAACCTGAGAGGGGCGTAGAAAACCTGAGCCTGTGACAGAGATTAACCTCCCAGCGGGGCGTCCGTCACAGGAGCCACAACACAAGAGTTCAGATTAGAGCAAAAACAGTTTAGAACGTCACCGTCCAAGACCAAGGCGGGACTTGACGTTATCCATCATCGTTACTGAACGTGATCAGTTTTCCGAGAAAAAAAAAAAAAAGCAAGAACAAGTAAAAACTGGTCTGGATGAATTCCAAAAGAATATGTAGCAACATAGAATGAGCAGACAGTGTATTGACAAAGTGTATTTATGGAAAATACGCATGATCCCCTTCCCCTTTAAGTCCTGTTTGTAAAGACTTTTGATAACTTTGCGTGCATTTTCTTCCACTTTACAATTACACATTACTCTGTGCTGCTCGGTCACATAAAATCCTAATGAAAACGTTTTCTGTGTTTGCAGTGTGACAGAAAATTTTGAAAAGACCCAGGAGCACGACTGCTTCTCCAAGGCACTTCAGACCAGACATATTTTACTGGCTGGTACGACTTGTGCCATCCAGGAAAGAGGCTTTTACTACTACTAATCCGCGTAGGACTGTCCGGGTGTGTGGGACACGTGTGCTTGCGGTGCTAACCAGGCCTCAGCGCATACTGTGCAGCAGAATAAACAAGTCTGTCTGTGTTCACAGGCTGCTATTAAAGCCGTATAAAAGTACACACACACATATGCAATAACAGCACTCATCATGGCCCTCAGCGGCTCCGTGTCTCTCGGCATGGGTTTGACAACAGCTGACCTAAACGATCTACGGCTTGCATCGCCGCGCAGATATATAGGAAGACATAAAACATTTGGCACGGGCTTAGCTGCGCAGGCACAGAGCAGCAGGGCTTACCTCGATGAAACCGCATACGATAAATACAGCGTAATAACATGCTGCTGCGTCTAACAGCCGTCCTTCACCGTCCCGCTTCAGCAAAGCTGTCTTCACGGCGCAGTTGCCATGTATCATCTACCGCTGCAGAGTATGTCGACCGGAATCACTTTTCCTTGTGTTTCTCATTTTGAATTACTTTTTGATTTTCCTGGTGGCTCCATGTCCTCAGACATGAAATGTCAGATATAAAAACCACGTCACGTCAAAACCCGTAAAGAAGAATTGTACAGCCAATAGGCAGAGGGGGAACCCAGAATGAAGACGTCAACGCTGAGACATTGTACATCAAGAGACTAATGTTACCTATATGGAGGTTTTAGTTATGGATTTGTTCAGTCCTCCCAGCTGAGCTTTTCTTTACTGCCATTTCACGGCAGTTTTGTGCTTGCTCCATAACTTGACAGAATGAGTGAGTAAGTTGTCGTGTGGATCTGCGCTCAATGCACATCATCGCCTTTGCTTCTCAGTGTCTCTATGTGCGTTTGCATGTGTGCTCCATACACTCCATGTCCACAATGGTTTCTGACCAGCTTTTGCCCTCTGCTGGTGCAATTTAAGCAGCACTTTCTTTTTTGTCATAGTTTAGAACCGTACATTTATTTATTTTTTGGGGGGGAAAGGGGTTGCATCTACAGCAGTTTAACTCAGACCCATTAATTAGTCAGACATAAGAACTTTCCTAATGTTCCCTCTTGGGCTTGTTACAACCAGAAAGCCCGACACGCAGCGGAGCCAAATTGCGAACAGGAAGGAAAAGGATTAATTGCAGATGGGAGAATCTGTTGACAGTCATTAGTCAGGCACACCGAGACTGAGTTCTTTATGAAAGAGCGGGAAGAATGGCAAATGGACTGAACGTATATGGCGCTTTTTCCAAAGAACTTTACACTAGAGCCACATTCACCCACTTGCCCTACCAAACACTCCCATTTATACACCGATCGATCAGTAGGCCAAATGTGGTTGAGTGCCTTGCTCTGGGGCACATTGACATGTGACAGGAGGGAGATGGAATTGGCCCTACAACCTTCCAATTGTAAAACAGCAACTCCACTCCCTGAGCCACAGTTGCACCAGAATGAAGCCATTGTTGCAAGAAAGCCATCAGAAGTCGGGTTTGCAGTTTGCCCCACGTCGTGCCAGTGACAAATCAAACACGTGGAAGAAGGTATTCTAGTCAAAGTAGACCAAAAATGACATTTTGGAAACAAAACTGTTGCAGAACAATATGTTTGGTTTGGTTAAAAATGACTAATTGCTAAAGGTATATATTGTTAACAAAACAATAGATGAACATTACCAAGCAGGGTCCCCACTTGATTATCAGATGTGATGCTGATGTTGTTTGTTTATTGTAAAATGTGCTGCCTGATCTGCCTGTGTGGCCTTCCCTCCCCACTAAGACTTTTTTGCACATAAAAATTTGTTCTTGATTCTAGGTTAAATAAATAAAGTAAAAGTAATTAAAATGCCAAATAGTCCAGTCTCAGTTATCATCTATAAATTTCTGACTGTTATGGCTTGGGTGCTAAAATAACAACAGATGAAGGGACTACGGCAAAGAGCCAAACTATGGATCTTTAGACTTTGGTACTTTCAGTCAGACGCATCAAAGCCAACTCTGTTTCTACAAAACTTGTTCTCCAACAGGTCAAAGTTAAGAAGATGGGACACAAAAGACAAGAATGACAGAATCAGCTTTATTGGAGGAAATTGTCTGCACGAAAGAGTGATTTGACGTCGGTTTCAGCATTCGGATAATAGGCAGATTCTCGCTGTACGATTGAGAAAAACGACCCTGATGGAGACTTGAGAAGAGCACCGTCCTTCGTCAGATAAATTCCTATTAATGTAGATAGTAAACCCAACAGATTGGTGAAGTGCCATAAGTCCCACGCATTTCCCATGCTAACTCACACCAAGCAGTGAGTTCCACCTCTCTGTCTCACCACTCTCCTTTTCATTCTCTCTCTCTCTTCCCTCTCTCTGTCTCTCGTTTTCATCCTGCCACGTCCTCTTCCCATCTCCTTTTCATTCTGGCTTCCGTCGTGCACCACTGTCATTATCGCCACTTTGTTTTTAGCTCATTTTCAGCCTGACCTCATCTCTGGAGGACGACAATTATCAAACGGGGACATTGTGTTTTAACATCGATTTTGCGGTCAGCGACTCGCTCACGTTTGACGGTCGTTTTTGTTCTCTGCAGTGAAACTTGCCAAGTCCTGATGCCCGCCCCACCCCCACACCCACCCCACCTGCCCCCAAAACCACACCATCCGAACTCGCTCCCCGAACCCCAACATATACATACCCCCAGTCCAATCAGAGAAGCGGGGGCTTAAGAGCGATCATATAAACGCATCACGGACCGACATGTCAGTGCTGTTCTAGATGTCGAAGGAGAGTTTTGGTGTAGCGTACAAGCAGTCTGGCAGTGCAAAGGGGCAAAAGCATGTGAGTAATGCCGGGTTGCTATGGGCAGTAAGGTGACTGATGAGCAGCTACATTCTGGTTTTATTCATGTGACCTGCTTTGAGAAGGATGTTGAAGCAGGTGGCAGATGGTTCAAACAGCAGAGAGGCAAATTACCGGGCGAATGGACTGCGGTGGTATTTCATTCACCTTGAGCATATAAAACACTATCCCTGTGGAAGCAGCAGGCAGCGTGGGGGGAAAGGGTCAGGCTTCTCCTCCTTGGCATGACATAGATCGCATAACTGGGCTAGCGTGAGTCTTAGCCTGCCTTGAGCTGATGAAAGTGAACCTCTAGAAGAAAAAAATACCTCTAAAGCTCAGCAGGTGAGTTTAATCCCCCATGCGGGCCTGACAGGAGATACAGTGACTTAACTGATGGTTTATGGCAAAATGCATCAGCGTGGAGAGAAGTGGCCCGAGACATACGAGCCGTCTCGCAGCCTTCTAATAAGAAATCGAAGACACATGTCCGAATCTGCACCTTTTTACTTCCCGTGCGCTTTGCCAGAAGCTCTCATCCCTTGCAGTGCATTTCGTATTGAAAGAGCAGCATTCAGGGAATGTAACTAATGCTGTACGTGCTTTAGAGTTGCCACAGAAATGAAGCACATAGGTGTTAAGAAATGCCAGTCAGGCTCCCTCAGTTCAGCTCCTGGCAGTGTGCTGGCAAGGCCAAAGGCCCAGGAATGCTGTGCCCATCTGTCAACAAGAAACTGCCTTCCCTGGCAGA